GCTTCATGATATGAGGCTGATTTTAAAGCAACTTTCATGCGTTGTTGACTGAGACAACCTAATATCCACATAAATGAAGACCACACCATCCAGAGCTTTCAAATATTAACCATAATTAAGGCCTCAGGTAGAGAGGGACTTAGGCTGCCAAGGTTCTAAAGGAGAAAGCCTCGGAATTCCAAGGGAAAACAAACCTTTATTTCAAGAATAAACTCTGATGTTTGATAATGAAAGTCTAAAGGCTACTTACAAATTCAGAAAGGAATAGAGATGCTGGTATTTCAAAGCTATTTCCAGGAAAACTGACTCAGGTACCCACAGCTGATTATCTGTGGCTCAGAGTTCTGAGCTATCTTTTGTCTCTATGACTCATTTTCCTCTTTGTGTCTGTGACTTTGTGAATGTGTATATATATCTGTGGCTCTCTAAAGGAAAAGCCAGCTTGCTATATCCTCTTACTTAATTTTTTCTTGATAAAATTATTTTCGTTTAATTTTTTTTTTAGCTTAGTTTCATCATGCATCCTTAGGTAGAATAGGTAGCAAGCTTCTTGGTTCTTCGATTCTTCATCCATCCTTTCATTAATTGTTCCCGAATGTCTATTATGTACCTAGTGTGTGCAGTTAACAATAAAGAACATAAGAAAAAAGACTTTGTCCTCCTGAAGCATCCACCTAGCAGAAGGAGACATACAATAAACAGGTAAACAAAATGAGATGTAGCTGGTGATAGTTCCACAGAGAAAAAGAAAGCAGGGAGGAGGTGGGGGTTCTGTGGCCAGGTCCTTCGAGCCTGGAGATGCAGTCAGTCTGAGACGGTCGGGGAGGGGACCAGCAGGACACTCACAGCACCAAGGCTTTCCACTCTGGCTCTCAGCGGAGTCTCCCTAGGGACCTCGTGACGTGAATTCTCAGTTACCATTAGAAATTCTGATTCTCTAAATCTTGCGGTGGCTGGAATTACGTAATTTTATCAAGGGTCCTGGGTGATTCTCATGTAGCCCTTGGTCCCACGAGGTTTGAGAACCAGTGACCTAGCGAACAAAGGCAGCTGGGAGATTAAAGGTTGAGGAAGCATCCAGAAACCAGGAGGTTTTGGGGACGAAGATAGGACACTCCTCATTTTGTCCCCTCCACCCATCTTCCACAGCCTAGAGGCAGCCCCCCTTGTCATTTCCTGCATCTGGCTTAGAGCTTCAAACCCCCTGCTCTTCATATGCAAAGGGAAGCTGCTTTTGGATTTGGAAAACTCTTTCCCCTCCTAATAAAGCTTGCTAACGTACAGTTCAAAATTGAGCGACTACTTCCTTGTTCCCGATGGCATCTACTATCTTACTTGGAGGCACCATCAGGAGCAGTGGGTGCCAGTGATTCCATGGGTGAAGGAAAATGACAGGGAACACGATCTATGGAGCATGAAACAGACACACATTGGTTTCACATTTCAGAAATATTATCTTTGCTGTGCACTTTTTCGTCCTTGTGTTTCTTTCCATGTGAGCAGCATTTCACACCTCTGGCTGCTCCTTCCTCTTTGAAATGCTTTCCCCTTCCACATTCTGCTGGTTTCCATTTCAGGCTGCTCTTCCTGAGTCTTCTTTATAGGTTTCTCCTCTGCTCCTCCCTTAAGTATGGTTCTCCCCAGAACCATATCTAACACATATGCTGCACGTGTCTGTGTTTTGAAGACCATCTTTCTCTCCCCTCCTACCTGAGCTCCATCTGCACTGCCATCTTCGTCTTGAAGGTTCTTCTTAGGGGCCTCCCAGTAAATTTCAACTTGCCAGGTCTAAAATCCCCAGAGGTGGGGAAAAAGTTAACTACTCCTGCCTCTGGGATGGAATTCTTTCAAATGGAAACCCAAGAACCTAAATTGAACTATATGGAGTAGAAAAAAATACCTTTCAATGGAATTTCAAGTTTATTGATAGTGTATGGTAAATAATGGGGTCTATGAAATCTCTCTCTTACCTCTTGGCATCTGTTTTTTTTTTTTTTTTTTTTTTTTTGAGATGAGGGCTGGAGTGCAATGGTGTGATCTTGGCTGACTGCAACCTCTGCCTCCTGGGTTCAAGTGATTCTCCTGCCTCTGCCTCCTGAGTAGCTGGGGTTACAGGTATGTGCAACCATTCCCAGCTACCTTTTGTAGTTTTAGTAAAGACAGGGTTTCACCACGATGGTCAGGGTAGTCTCAAACTGCTGACCTCAGGTGGTCCTCCCACCTCTGCCTCCCAAAGTGCTGGGATTACAGGCGTGAGCCACCACGTCTGGCTTCTCTCGGCATCTTAATGCTGTGGATATCTTGAGGAACTCTATTTTCTGCAATTAATTCAGGCACTATGCATTTGATTTCTGGACTAGGGGGAGAAGACTGGACCCCAAGAGCACTGAATTTGCTTGGGAAACGACAGTGAATCACTTTCTGGAGTATCCCCTGTAAGAGGTTAAAGGAATCTAGACCATGATAAAATCCCCTATCAAAGAACCATAGCCCAGGACTGCTAAACCTTAGCTTCCTTTCCTTGCTTACTTTTCTTTCTTTCTCTTTTCTTCTTTTCTCAGGTACTCTTGACCAATTTCTTTTTCACACATGAGGTTCTTTCTATGTCTACAGTGCTGGGAAGCCATTGCTTTTGAATAAAGACATATACACACTAGTGACACCGGCCACAGGATCGTCGACTTTTCTTTTCTTCCCCTGGGCTTCTCTTGGCTAACTCAACATTTTAGTGGCTGGATGTGATAAAGGGCCCACTCCATGCAGCTTGTCTGGATGGTGTAGAGCAGTGGTTTCTAACTTTAGGAAGCAGCCCCTTCCTTCACATTCTCCCGTGAAACCTCAAGAGATAACACAGATCCATGTGAGCAGAGCTCATTGCCGCAGTGGAGGCAGGTGCCCCTCCTCCTCGCATGTCCTTGTGGCGAACTTCTACTGGCGGTGGTTCCCAATACTGGCTTTACATACAGTCACCTGGGGAGCCTGAAGAAAGGTCCTCAAACCCAGGCTGCATCCCAGAGCAAACCAACTGAATCAGAATTTCCAGGTGTGGGACCCAGGCAGCAACAGTTTTCAAAGCCTGCCCCAGGTGATCCCAGCGGGCCGCAGTTGCTGAAGACTGCATCTGAGTCACTGTCCGTCTCCTGCTGTCTATGCTGTATCACAGCCAGTCTGGGAGGAAGGAACTGAGCATGTGTGGGCCATGGGCTAGCCCCGATGGCATCTGCTACCCTCCTGCAATGGTCCCATTCTGGTGAAGTATTAGCATAGCAAGCCCATGTGATCAGATGTGGGCTCTATTTTTCAAACTGCTTTACCAGTAATAAAAGAGAAAATTATATTTCCTTTGCCTAAAACCTGTTTCCATACCTCAGTTCGTTCCAAACTTAGGCAGAAAATAGAGAAGTGTTGCTTCTGACCCACCCCCAGCTTTCCACCAAGGCCCCATTTGCTACACTTCCCTTTCCTGCACCCTCCAGACAGTCCTAGGTGGCCTCTGAGCACCACTGGAAAATCACATGTAGGTAACAAGCAGTGAGACAGACGCGAAGAGCGCACTGGAGCTGGATTCTAATTTTGGCTCTGCTGCTTACTAGCTACGAGACTTGGAGCCCGCTACTTAATCTCTCTGTGCCTAGTTTCCTCCTCTGCAAAATGAGATTGTAATAATAAGGATGATAGTATTTATCTTGCAGGAATGTGGTGAAGAGGCAGTGTGTTAGTCTAAATAGGCAACCCTTGGAACCTGATGGAGCTGTGTGAGCGTGAGCTGCAGCTGCAAACAGAGACAGGCTCTGCCCCCAAACACCAACGGCCACCCATGGAAATGCCAATCAAAACCTCATTGGAAACGGGAGGGATCACTAGTTTCTGAGTGAGTCTAATCGGATACTATGAGGTGTGGAACCCCCTCCTCTTCTGGGGGACTTCGGAAGATTTATAGGAATTCAATCAGGACCATATGGGTGAGCATCTTGAGCTTAAGCTAAAAGTAGCTTTCATTTATTGAACTGAAGACAGGCTACTCTGGAACATCCAGGCAGGGTGGATGGCAGAAACTCAGGGCACCCCAGCCAAGCTTTGGAAGCTCCCTTGCTCTAGAGATGTCTGTGTACCTGGACTGGAACTGAAGAAGCCCCCTAATCACTTCACATCAGAAGGGCTCAAGTTCTCTCTCCCAGCAAACACCAAAGGCAGACCAGCAATGGAGGGGGCTGTCAGGCTGAGATACGAGACACAGCAGTCAGGATCTGGTGTGTGAGAAACTGGTCTGGAGGCCATATAAACACCAGGTTTTGGGTGCACAGCTGACAGAGAAGAGCGGGTCATTGAGTAGGGAAAGGAGAGTGTCCAGGACCTTAGAGAGCTGGCAGCAACTTGCGGAGCCTGCCCTTCCCTTGAACTTGGCCTAGAGGTGAACTTGGGTGTTCCTGCCTGCCATGATCGCCCACCCCTCCTCAGTCAGTCTCTGCCATCACCTCCCTATTTAAGACTCGATTGGTAGCCCACCTTTGTTTCATGCTGTTCTCTAGTTTCTTGCTACGTAAAGTGTGGTTCATTGTCTGGAAACAATGAAACTATCTGGCAGGGTGTTGTAAATGCAGATTCTCAGGCTACCCTGGCCCTATTGAATCAAAGTCTACATTGCAGCCAGATCCCCAGGTGATCCATGATAACATGAAAATCTGCCAGACACTGTTACAGTTTTCTCCTGGGGTCCCCAAAGCACCTTCAGCTCTGTTTCTGGACACAGACGAATGCCCTGTGTACTTGTTGATTTTCAATTCGTTTATGGCAACCGGGGGATGTGGGAGGCTGGAGAAACGAAAGACACTCAGCACAGCATCCGGTGCTTTAATAGAGAGGCCTGAAGGTCGCAGTGGGCAAGGCCTTTTCATGTGTCACCTGGGCAAGTGATGCAACATGAACTGGCTCTCCATCACGATTTGGAGAGAAGACACCTGCTCCATAAGAGAAGAAAGTTTGAATTCCTCATGTCTTACCTCGTTCAGCTTTTCAGGACTGAAAACAGACATCAGGGCACCTCTGACCTCTTCCCACCTTTTGTCACGTAAAAACAGAACACTGTCGGCTACAGACTTGAACTCCAAACCCGATGCCTGTTGGGAAGTAGCAAGCAGAGGGTCAGGACTTGGAGCCAAAGCCACCTTGGTGGCAATACAGGTCCATGACAAACACCCTGGTTAAAGTACATCAATGACCAACAAGTTAGGAGGTTTCTCTTGCAAGGATACAGAGGAAGAATAGAAAGGCTTGCAGGCCATGATAGGAAGATCCATAGCCAGAGCCCAGAGGGAGCAAACGGGCAAGCTCTGGAAGCTCAGTTGTACCCCACTACAATGCGGTCACCGTCGTAAAGACAATCCAATGACTTCTGTGTGTGTGTTCTGCAGTCCTCCTACTGAGCGGGGATTCTCTGCAGATAAACAAGGCAGGCTTCCTGGAGATGGCCTAGCCTTTCCTGGGAATTAGTTTCATGTCTGAACTTTGTGGCACAGGGTTTTGTGTGACTGAATTGGTTAGGATGTGTCCGGAGTTGAGAGACTCACTCGTCTGGGCGCTTGCTGTATGAGTGGAGGGAGGGGGAAGGGGGAAAAAGGAGAGGCCTTCAGAAGCGTGTGTCAGGAGAGCTGCTTCCAAGAGCATGCCTGCCATAATGTTCTATCGGTCATTCATTCTTTTCTCAGTCAGCAAAAATCAGTTGACAGCCTGATGGGCTGAATTGTTATGGGCTGAATTGGGCTCCCCAACCCCAAACTTCATAGGTTTAAATCCTGACCCCAAGAACCTCAGAACGTGACTGTGCAGTCGACCTTCTATATCTGGGCGATCTGCATCTGTGGATTCAACCAGTCATGGATCAAAAATATGCAGAAAAAATTCCACCAAGCTCTGAAAAGCAAAACTTGAAGTTCCCCTGTACAGAGAACTACACTGACTCCATGTAAATGAAGTGATGCATAGGCATTGTATTAGGTATTATAAGTAATCTAGAGCTGATTTAAAGCATAGAGAAGGATGTGCACAGGTTATATGCAAATACTATGCCATTTTATATCAGAAACTTAAGCATCCACAGATTCTGGTGTCCTGAGCAAGGGCGGGTCCTGGAACCAATCCCACAAGATACTGAGGGATGGCTGATTTGGAGATATGGTCTTTAAAGAGATAATTAAGGCTGGGCGCGATGGCTCACACCTGTAATCCTAGCACTTTGGGAGGCTGAGGCAAGCAGATCACCTAAGGTCAGGAGTTCGAGACCAGTCTGGCCAACATGGCAAAACCCCTCTACTAAAAATACAAAAATCCAGGCGTGCTGTCGCGCACCTGTAATCCCAGCTACTTGGGAGGCTTAGGCAGGAAGAATTGCTCAAACCTGGGAGGCAGAGGTTGCAGTGACCTGAGATTGTGCCACCGCACTCCAGCCTGGCTACAGAGAGAGAATCCATCTCAAAAAAAGAGGTAATTAAGGTAAAATAAGGTCATTAGGGTGGGCCCTAATCCAAGATGACTGGTGTACTTTTTGGAAGAGGAGATTAGGACACAGACACACATAGAAGGAAGACCATGTGTGGATATAGGCAGAAGACAGCCATATACAAGCCAAAGAGAGGCCTCAGGAGAAACCAACACTGCTGACACCTTGACTTCAGGCTTCCGGTCTCCAGCACTGTGGGAAAATCAATTTCTATTGTTTAAACCCCCAGTCTATGGTTGGCTGGTATAGTAGCCTAGTAAACTCATACAGGGTTCAAGAAGTTGTCTATACCACGTTGAAGGAAAAAGACTTTGCTTTGACCCTCATGGAGTAGGCGGCCTAGAGGGGAGGCAGAGAGTAAACTCATAAGCTAACAACTAGATGGAAAGTGAATTTTCCTGGAGAGAAAGTGTATTTCTTGGAGGAAGTATATTTTCCTGGAGGGAAAATAGGGTAAGGAGGGACATGGGTGGGGAACATGGTTGGGAGACTTCTCCGAGGTGAGAACTTCGGTTTCCTCATCCCTTCTTCCCAGGCCATTCTGTTTCTTTCTAAAACCGGTTGTCCCACTAAGTGGTGAAAAATGGAGCCCCCACCATTGGGCAGAGTGTCCCCTGCCTGTAGGTTGCAGGGCACAGGGAGACAGGGGGTTGGGTGACCAAGCAGTCTCAGAACCACGTGTGATACATAGTGATGCTATTTCTTTTCACTGTTTTAATTATAGCTGAAACATGAAGCCAGTCATCAGAATTCAAAAGCCTTGTAAAAACTCCTATTTAGAGGAAAATTATAATTTTCTGATAAAATATGAACACTCAAAATAAGCCATAAAATGTAACTGCAAAGTATCTAGAGGGGAGTTAATTATATATTAGAACCAAGATGCTGGGATATTTTTTCTGCAGAGGAATACCTCTCTATATTTAGAAAGAAATTCTTTAGGAGTGCCAGGGCCACTCAACAGAATTATGGTTTTACGGAATTGGGGGAACACATTCCATTTGTTTAGGTTCCAGAGTTGAAGGAGGAAATCATACATTATATGTATTTTTGTAGTAGCAAGATGCAGTCCTGTGCTGCACTGCATGGAATAAAGCATTGAGCTCCAATGAAAGTGGGGTGATGGTTTATGTGGTTCTGATGAGACAGAATAAATTAGAGCTAAGACTGAAGACTGACTGGATCTTGTATCTGTCCTTAAGACTTAAGGGTGAATGTATGCTATTTTTTGTCTTGCACCTGAAAGACAAATTTAGCCTTCCTTATGATATGTCAGCATGGCCTTCAAGTATCTTTCTCACCAGCCTGCCATGGCACTGTCCTCCTGTGGGCCTGGAAATCCCATTAGAATCCTCCATTTTTGACGAAGTCATTTGGAGCTATTGGTTATTGTATTATTTTTATTTCTGAAAACATTTTATTTTATTTTATTTTTTAAAACAGGGTCTTGCTCTGTCACCCAGGCGGTAGTGCCATGGTATGGTCATGGCTCATTGGAACCCCTAACTTTTGGGCTCAAGCAATCCTGACTCTCAGGAGGGTGGTTGGGACTAGAGGCACATACCACCATGTCCAACTAATTTTTAAGCTTTTTGGAGACTGGGCGTGGGGGGTCACGCCTGTAATCCCAGCACTTTGGGAGGCTGAGGTGGGTGGATCACAAGGTCAGGAGTTCAAGGCTGGCCTGGCCAACGTAGTGAAACTCTGTCTCTACTAAAAATACAAAATATTAGCTGGGCATGGTGGCAGGCACCTGTAATCCCAGCTACTCTGGAGGCTGAGGCAGAAGAATCACTTGAACCCAGAAGGCAGAGGTTGCAGTGAGCCAAGATTATGCCATTGCACTCTAGCCCGGGTGACAGGGCGAGACTCCATCTCAAAAAAAAAAAAAGAAAATAAATGGTGTCTCACTATGTTGACCAGGCTGGTCTTGAACTCCTAGCCTCAAGCAACCCTCCCACCTTGGTCTCCCAAAGTGCTGGGATTACAGGGATGAGCCACTGTACCTGGCCTCTTTTCATTTCTAGATGCCCCACTATAAGAGGATATTGATCATTTCAAAAGAGCAGTCAAAAGGTGAAAAGACATTGAATCATGTCATACATGAAATAGTTGTCAGATTTTGTAGTTTTTAACTGGAAAAGAGAAAATTTAGAAGATCAGATAGTGGTACTTAGGTATGTGCTCAATAAATATTTATTGAATGCATACTGCATGGAAGAGGAAATTTAGGTTGTTTTTGTGACCCTCAGAAGTGAAACTGGGTTTAACAGAGGAAGCTATGGGGAAAATTCCAGCTCATCTGAAGAACTATCCCAATAGTCAACAGGCAAAATTATTCAAAGATAAGATAACCTGCCTTGAGAGATGAGCTCCACACTCCTGGAGACTGTTCCACTTCTTGGAAATCCTGTACCCAAGGCTTGAGCATGCAGAAGGGTTTGGTCAAAGCTTTCCAAGAACTCTTTCAATCCTAAGACTTCATGTCCAGAACATCAATCCAGACACTTTTTTTTCTATTAGTCTGCCTACACATTGATTTTAAAAATTGTGGCAAAATACGCATAACATAAAATTCACCATCTTAACCATTTTTTTTTTTTTTTTTTTTTTTTGAGACGGAGTCTTACTCTGTCACCCAGGCTGGAATGCAGTGGTGAGATCTTGGCTCACTGCAACCTCTGCCTCCTGGGTTCAAGCTATTCTCCTGCCTCAGCCTCCTGAGTAGCTGGGACTACAATGCGTGCCACTATGCCTGGCTAATTTTTTTGTATTTTTAGTAGAGATGGGGTTTCACTATGTTAGCCAGGATGGTCTCTATCTCCTGACCTCATGATCTGCCCGCCTCAGCCTCCCAAAGTGCTGGGATTACAGGTGTGAGCCACCGTTCCCGGTGATCATCTTAACCATTTTTAAGAGTACAGTTGGGTGGTATTAAGTACACTCACATGGTGTGCTCTTATCACCAGCATTCCTCCATAGAACTTTCTTCATCTTGCAAAAGTGAAACTCTGTGACTATTAAACAATAGCTTCCATGCCCCTCCTCACCTCCTGCCTATCTACGTAAGTTTATTGATTAGATTTACTGAGAGATGTCTTGAAAGGGACAAAGGATTTTCCTCAAAGGAATAAGTGATATGGTTTGGCTGTGTTCCCACCCAAATCTCATTTTGAATTGTAGCTCCCACAATTCCTATATGTGGTGGGAGTGGCCTGGTGGGAGGTAACTGAATCATGGGGATGGGTTTCCTATGCTGTTCTCATGGTAGTGAATAAGTCTCACAATATCTGATGATTTTATAAAGGGGAGTTTCCCTGCACAAATTCTCCTGTCTGCTGCCATGCGAGACATGCCTTTCACTTTCTGCCATGTTTGGGAGGCCTCCCCAGCCAAGTGATACTGTGAGTCCATTAAACTTCTTTCTTTTGTAAATTGTCTAGTCTTGGGTATGTCTTTATCAGCAGCGTGAAAATGGACTAATTCAACGAGTAACAAGACTGGCAAGTGCAATGGGAGCCAGACTATGCATGTCCTGCAGGAAAGGGGCTGCAGAAAGGAGGTCAAGGGACACAGCTTTCTAGGCTCCTGTCTGTCAGTCTGGCTGTGTCCCAAGCCTCC